GTTATGATGCCTACAAAATAAATCTTGATTCTTTTTTTTGTCATATTCTACCTTCTTAACTGCAATTAAGATCCTTGACTATTATCTTGTGCATATATGTGGTTAATATTCACTCGGTTGCTGTTTTTGGTGTTATGGTGTATTGGTGTTTATTACAGTTGTAGCGTTATTAAACACAACAGAGAAAAATATACTGGCTTAGAGTTTTTCAGGTGTAGCATAAACAAAGGAAAAGAAGTTTAGAATTCGCTTCACAGAGACTGCTGAATTGGTGTAGATGGCAGTATGACTGTTATTGGCAGAATTAAGCAAACAAGTTAATAAAAAATCGCAGTTGAATATTTTAGTAAAAAAAATAAGCAGTGATGTGGAATCCTTTACCTTTTCATTTCTATGCTCTTGTCTAACAGTAACTAAACATATTTTTAATCTTTCTCTCCTCTTGCCATCTGGGCCATTCATTTTCTTGCGTGTTCTTTAGTTGACTAATTCATGTGTGCAGATTTTTCGAATTCTTAGGGGAATAAATGTTCGAGTTCTTGTCATACTTCTCCTTTTGGGCTTCGTATATGTCTTTTACATCGGAGCAAGTACTTCTCCAATCATTGTTTTTGTCTTCTCAGTTTGCATTGTCAGCTTCCTTTTGTCAATGTATCTCACAAAGTGGGTCCTTTCCAAGGATGAAGGACCTCCGGAGATGGTTCAGGTAAATTTCTCTATGTAAAAATAACTTCGTAAAGTCATAATCTCAAGCTTTCTTTATGCTCCTGTGAAAATTTTATTAAAAGCATCTCTAGAATTTTTAAATATAATGTTTCTCCAAATTGAAAATGTCTTTTATACATTGTGAGTGTTTATTTTGTTATTGGTTAATTAGAATGTCTTTTACAGGTTTGCTTTAATTTACAACAATCATGTCTGATGAGTCTTAGAGTTCGATATAAGGTTTGATCAGAAATATTGACGATGGTGGACAATTGTGTTCTACGTCAATTAAAATTTCTGAAATTGTTTTTACATTTGAAGTGTTAACGTTGCTTTTGTGGACAAGACAAGAAATCAAATAAGTTTATTTTAGTAATATTCCTAATTAGAATAATTTATTTAGCAAGTATCTTGTTGCAATTAGAAGTGTTTAATTTTAGTTTCCTTAATTATAAATTCTACAAGTTAATTTTAGTTTCTTAGTTTACTACAATAAAACCCTCTATGACCTCTATTTAAGGGGATAATTCTTAGTGATAATATAAGATAGAAATTATTTCAATATATACAGGTTTGAAACTCTCTTTCTAATGAGTCTAAGGTTAGGAGCTCCCTCCAACGAATTTCATATATTATTAATCGTAGGGTCTTCACAAGCAAGGAACCGAGACAAGGTTAAAGTTTTACCAATCGAAGTAGGTTTTTCTTGTGAATTGTTGGATGACTTGATCCATAAGTTATTAACATTTTTTTTATAAAAAGTGGAGGCCTCGTTAAACCTCCCTTCATGATTACTAGAACACCATAAGGTGTTCTAGAAATCAGCGGACGGAGGAAAAGAGTGCCTCAAACTTTATTAATAAAAGAGTAATACAATGCATATGATTACAACCAAACTTACCCCCATACAATAGATAAAACCAAAAGATGAGAAAAAAACAAAACCCAACCAAAACTCCCTATATTAGACAATTCTAGACTTTGCTAAAACGTCTGCCTATAAGTTTGCTGGCCTAGCTATCTAACGAATATTGCCCTCCAAGTTCCTGATCTTATCCACAATTTCTTTAGAAATTGAAACATACAAACTTGGGCATTTATCCAAATTCTTAATCCACTCCACAGACAACTTACTATCACTCTCAATAATCAACCGTCTCTTAGAGCACCAGCTAAATGATTCAAAGAAAATTAAACCATGTTTAATGGCCTTTTATTCCATTAAAGGAGGACCCGAACCGACAGCTTCTTGAAAAGATATTAGCACTGTGCCAGACTCATATCTTAGAATCCTACCTAAACTGCTAGCCTTCCATCACCTATGACAACAATATCCACGTTCAACTTTGGAAATCCCATGGGGGAGGGGACCAGGAAATCTGATTTGCTAGCTGACTTTTTGGAACAAATCATATATCTCCAAGAGATGGATCACCAATGAGGGAATCCATTGAAATGGGAATATTTTTTTATAAGATTTGAAGGCCTCATTAAAAACCACCTTCTTAATTAATGGAGTTTATGTGTAAACTCCTTAATTAGCGGAAGATGGAAAAGAGTGCCTTAGAACTTCATTAAATAAAATAAGAATTATATCATGTAGAAAGATGAACCCAATAACCCTTACAAAAAGCCAAAACCCCCTTTTGAACAAAAACATGAAACCCACTCGACCAGAATCATAAAATTCAGCCTATACCAGCCTTTGTTAGGGCATCAACATCCGTATTAGCTGTCTTTGCAACCCATCTAACAATCCCCCCACAAATCCTAAGATTTTCAACTATATCTTTAACAATAAAAGCATACACAACTGGATAAGAATCAACATTGTTAATCCAGTCCACTGCTACCCTGTTGTCACTCTCAACAATCAGTCGAAATTTTTCCTCCCCTTGGATAGAAGCGACAAAAGGAAATCCCCTTTGAATAGCTTTGAGTTCCTTCAATGTTGGAGGGCCCATACCATCTGACTCTTGAAAAGTTCCTAAGATTGCACCTGAATGATCCCTTAAAATGCCTCCCATACCACTTTTCTTCCAATCACTACTAGTGGCAGCATCCACATTCAATTTAATGAAGCCTATAGGAGGAGGAAACCAGGGAATTATATAAGACTTCAGGAAATTGTAGGACGAATGAGAATCCCCTATTGAAGGGTCCGAAATTAACGAGTCTTTAGGAATAGAGATATCCTTATACTTAGCTAGGAACCAAGAAGCAAGCCTAACTCTTGCTAAATAGAATAATTCAATATGGTCCAACTTTCCCCCTTCAAAAACAATAAAGTTTCTGGTTTTCCAAATGGTCCAAATAACAACCCTAGGAATGAATGACCATATAGCAAAATTTGACTTCAACTCTTCCCAGCCTAAGAGGAACGTTTTAGCATCTTCATAAAAAACAGAACTGAAACTCCAAAATTGTAAAAATTTGTTCCATAATGCCCACACTACCGAACAAGTAAAGAATAAATGCGATGAAGACTCTTCAACCTTTTTACAAAGAGGACATAAATCATCATCAATTCCTTGAACTCCTCTTTTTGCCAATTCTGTTTTAACAATAAGCTTTTGCTACACAATTTGCCAAACTAATGTTTCAACTCTTGGTGGTACTAAACCTCTCCAAACAATATTCATCTAGAAATGAACCTTTTCTGATCCGGTAGCACACTTCTTAACACAAGAACTGACTGTAAACATACCATCCCCACTGCCTTTCCAAATCAAACCATCACTGAATTCTTTAAATAGAGAAATAGAAGAAATAATGCTCATCAAGTTACACCATTGTTCCATCTCCCAATCATTCAAATTTCTTCTAACTTGAACATCCCAAATCCAGCCCGATGGATGAAAATCCCCAAACTCACATAGTTTTCCTGATTTATTAGAAGCAATCAAAAACAATCTTAGAAATAGGACCTGTAAGGGATAATCTGTTGCCCAAACATCCTGCCAAAATTGAATGTGCTTACCATCACCAACTTGAAAATTGCATAAGGAACGAAACTTAGAACCAAAGGAATCTTGCTTGAAATAGTTATTAACCACTGTTCTCCACTGCCAAGAAGTAAAATATGGAAGCTTACTGTCAAACAATAACTTGGAGGAATCAAAATTATATTTATAACAAATAAATCTCCTCCAAACAGAATTTCTCTCGTTTGCAAACCTCCAGGACCATTTCCCTAGCAAAGCTATGTTCATGTAATTCAGATTACGTACTCCCAACCCTCCCTCATTCTTAGGTTTACACACTTCAACCCATTTAACCCAGTGAATTTTCTTTTTACCATTGCCACCTCCCCATAGAAAATTAGACATAATAGAATTAAGAGACTTAAGGATTGAAGCTGGAATCTTAAACATTGACAAAAAATACGTAGGTAATGAGCATAAGACAGATTTAATCAAAACCATTCTTCCAGCTCGTGAAAGAGTAGCTGTCTTCCAACCTGCTAATTTTACGTGAAAATTCTGCACCACCGGTTCCCAAATAAGTGAGGAATTCTTTATTGAACCTAGTGGAAGACCTAGATAATTAGAGGGGAAACTACCAACTACACAACCAATGGAATCTACCCAAGTTTGAACCTCCTCTTGAGATATGTTTACTTCGAACAGTCTGCTCTTCTTTAGGTTAAGTTGCAACCCTGACATAACCTCAAATACTCTAAGCACTATCTTCACATTCATAATCTGCATCTTCGAAGCCCCACAAAAAATGATTAAATCATCCGCGAACTGTAAGTGTGTAAGATTAAAAGACCCTTCCTCCTTACCAACTCTCATACCTGAAAATAATCCCTTTGAAATAGCCCTTAGGATTAATAAATTCATCAATTCTCCTACTAGATTAAATAATAAGGGAGATAGTGAACAACCATGTCTTAGCCTCTTGGCCATTGGAAACTCCTCTATTGGAACCCCATTAACTAACACCGAGATTGAAGCTATGGTAACACATCTCCTAATCCAACTGATCCAAGTAGAGCATAATCCCATTTTCCCATTATCTTGAACAGAATAGGCCAATCAACAGTATCATAAGAATTTGATCATTTTTTGTACTGCATCGAAGACGCAGGTTCTTAATGATAAGAGGGTTCTACGAGTTTTCGAAGTTATATCAGGCCTGAAATTGAACCTCACTAAGAGTAAATTATTTGGTATCAATATTAGTAAGAAAGAGGTAATGCAGTGGGCTAATACTATTGGTTGTGCAGTGGGTCATTTCCCTTCGGAATATTTGGGATTACCGCTAGGTGCTAAGAGGAATTCTATAGCACTATGGGATCCGGTAGTGCAAAAGTTCTACAAGAAGTTAGCTGGCTGGAAGGCAAGGACTTTGTCAATGGCAGGGAGATTGGTCTTATTGAAGGTTGTTTTGTGCTCATTACCCACCTATTACATGTCCCTGTTTAAAATCCCTTCTTCCGTGGTTGTTAAACTTAATTCCATCATGGCCAGATTTTTATGGGGAGGAGGGGCAGAGGTAAAAAAAATTCATTGGGTAAACTGGTCGACAGTGTGCTTTGCAAAAAGTGCTGGTGGTCTTGGTGTTTTAGATCTTAATTATATGAATAGAGCTCTCCTAGGGAAGTGGTCTTAGAGGTTTGCGAATGAAAGGGAGACAGTGTGGAAAAAGGTATTATGCAGTAAGTATAATTTGGACCCTAGGTTGCTGATTTTTAAGGGAAAACTGCCTGCACATACTTCTTGGATTTGGAAATAGGTAGTCCAAAATCATTTCAAAGAGGATCAGTTTGGAGCTAAATTTCGAATTCTGTTTGAAGTTCGTGTGGGCATTGGAGATAAAATCAGTTTTTGGTTTGATAACTGGGCAATTGATTCCCCCTTAAAGTGGTTTTCCCGAGATTGTTTGTTCTATCTTTAAACAAAAATGGAAAGCTCAATGAGTTTGGAGAGTTTCGGTCTTCAGTTTGGTCTTGGCATGTTCAAATGAGAAGGAATTTGAGTGACTGGGAAATGGTTCAATACTGTGATTTAATGGCTTTAATTCATAATATAACTCTGTCCCATGAGTTGACAGATGGGCTAGTTTGGAGAGGGAATGAGGATGGGATATATTCTGTTAATTCCAGTGTTAAGTCTTGTTGTCCTGTTTCGACAGTAGATTCCTTTTGGATGAGATACATTTGGAGAGGCTTGGTGCCTCCTAGAGTGGAGGTCTTTATGTGGCAGGTGGTGTATCAAAGATTGCTAGTAAAACAAGAACTACAAAGGAGAGGAATTTATGTTATTGTAGATGTGACTTGTCCATTATGTAAAAAGAAGGTTGAATCTTCATCACTTCTATTTTTTTCTTGCTTTGTGGTATAAACCCTATGGAATAATTTTTTTGAAATTTTGGGGAGTATATTCGGTTTTGCAGGATAATGCTCAAAGTTTTATGTTAGCTTGGGAACATATGGTGCCTAATTCTAAAATTTGATCCTTTATTCCGGGTGTGGTGCTATGGACTATCTGGAAATTTAGGAATGACATTGTGTTTGATGGGGGAAGGTTAGATCAGATCGATTTGTTTTTTACGGCAAGATGTAGGCTGGCTACTTGGTTCTTAGCTAATTTCAAGGAGGTCTTTATTCTAAAGGACTCTCTCATTACTGATCCATCTCTTGGGGATTGTTTCTCTAATTCAAGGTGCTCTATCATTGAAATTGTGTCTTGGTCTCCTTCTCTAAAGGGCTTTATTAAATTAAACGTGGATGCAACAGTGAATGAAGATTGGAGGAAAAGTGGTGTTGGGGGAATACTTAGAGTTGATGATGGCTCGGTGATGGGTTCTTTCCAAGAGGTTGCTGGTCCAGGTCCTCCTTTGTTAATTGAGCTTATGGCAGTAAAGAGGGGCTTAACTTTCTTTGATTCGTTTCATCAACGGTTTAAGGAACGCTTAATTGTGGAAACAGATAGTAAACTAGCAGTGGAGTGGGTCAAGAATTACGATCGCTGTCCCTGTGTCTACTTAAACTTAGTGAAAGATATTGCTACTAAGTTAAGGGACTTGAATGGTATTATTAGATGGGTTGCTAGATCAACCAATGTTGAAGCTGATAGTTTAGCTAAGGCTGGTATTGGCTAGTTTACTGTTGGGATTAGCTAATTAAGTCTTTGAGTAGGTTATTGTAAAGGGAGTGGTTATGTTTATTTTTAAACATTATGTATATTTCGGTTATTAATGAATCCTAAGGCACTCTTTTCCTCCTTCCGCTGATTAAGGAGCACTTTGTGCTCTATTAATCATGAAGGGGGTTTTAACGAGGCCTACTTTCCTATAAAAAAACAGTATCATAAGCCTTCTTGAAATCAACTTTAAATACACAGTCCTTTAACCCTTTCTTTCTCCAATAATCAATACCCTCGTTTGCAATGAGAGAGCAATCCAAAATTTGTCGACTGAGAATGAAAGCAAATTGAGTCGGGCTTATGATATCTCCTATATAACTTCTAAGCCTCCTTGAAAGACACGTGGATAAAACTTTGTAAACTCCTCCAACTAAACTTATGGGTCTAAAATCATCAAGACTCCCATTGTTGGTTCCTTTAGGAATAAGGGTGATAAAGGTATGGTTAATACCATGCTCCCAATCTTTCCCCAAAGAGAATTTGTGAAAAAAATCCATAATGTTATCCTTTAGCACAAACCAAAACCTTTTGAAAAAAACCCAAGTTCAATCCGTCTGGTCCCGGAGTTTTGTTACTATCGCAAGACTTTAAAGTCTCCCACACTTTCTCCTCGAAAAAAGCCTTCTCTAAAAGACCACTTTGTTCGAAGGAAATTCTAGGAAAAGTCAACCCTATATCTTCAACATCTAATGTAGATCTCTCATTGAATATTTTAAAAAAGTGAACTTTAACAGAAGCTTTAATAACATCTGGTTCTTGTGTAAAATTCCCATCCACTTTTAAAACATTCAATGCATTTTGTTTTCTCATCACTGAGGCACAAGTATGAAAGTATCTTGTGTTTCGATCTCCATCATTAACCCACCTCTGTCTAGAATTTTGATGCCAAATCTGCTCCTCAATTCTATGAAGTCTCCATAATTCTGTTCTACACACAGTTAACTTATCAACTACCTCCTGAATTGAACTGTCATGCCTCTGTTGTGCTACCTCTTAAAGTTTTTGAATTCTGTCTTCTAAATCTGAAATTGCAGCTCCCGGAAACGTGTTTTTCTTCCCAGCCCACTGTTTGATGGCTAATTTAGAGTTCTTCAAAATACTAAGAATTCCCAGTTTTCTCCTGAAGTTCTTGCAATTTATAATTGTTTGACTAACCATTTCCTCGAAACCATCTTCCTCCATCACATAATTGAAGAGTCTAAAAGGCTTATTTCCCCAATTAAATCCTCCATTTTGTAACAAAACAACATTGTGATCTGAAATGGATTTAGGAATAAGAGACTGAATAATCTCAGGAAAAGAAGCCAAGAATTGGCCATCCACTAGGAACCTGTCCAATCTAACGAAAGTGGGATCATCTTGGTTATTACACCAAGTGAACCTTCCCCCCTCCATAGGCATATTAATTAAACCTACAGACTGAATAAAATGAGAGAAAATCCTCATTGAGAATCTATTCTGATCTCTACCCATCTTCTCATCTTCACACAAGTAAACATTGAAATCCCCTCTAACACACACCGAGAGATTCTGTCCAGAAATGAACACACTAAGTTCTTCAAAGAAGCTTTCTTTTTGCTCCTCCACTGAAGGCCCATAAACATTAATGAGAACACTTCTGAACTGATTAAATTTGAATTTTCCTGTAACCGCAATGAATCTTCTGTTTATACAATGATCTTCCCTCTCAAACAATTTATCATCCCAACAACACAATAACCCCCTTGAAGAACCAACAGCTGGCGATTCAATAACCTTTTGAAAACCATTTAACCTGTTTCTTCTTAGAAAGAACCTTTGTATCTTCTCAGCTTTTATTTCTTATAGCCAAAGAAAAGAAGCATGAGAGTTTGAAACCAACAGCTGGCGATTTAATAACCTCTTGAAAACCATCTAAACCTCTATCACCAGTTTCCATGACTGAATTGGATCCTCACTTTCTTGTAATTTAAGCACTGTTGTATTAGAAGTCTGTTGAACAGATGAACATAACTGATCTTTACCCTTCTTTGAATCTGAAACAACCTTATTAACAATATTTCCATTCTGTTCATTCCCATGCCAGTAATTCCTTTCCCTACTTCTTCTGTAAACTCTACTGTAATTGGGCATACTCCTTTTCTCTAAAGGCACACTCTTGGAAGAAAGCGAGCTTCTCTGCACAATCAACGAACGACCTCTGGAATGGCTTTTTGATAACTCTGAATTAGGAACTATCATCATGACTTAGTTTCTTTAGCCTCAATATCTTCACTGCCATACGAATCAGAATTCTTGCTGGACCCCATAAACTATTTTTTATCACTGCTATTCTTCTATATTGAACCAGTTTACCAAACTTATTGATTGTGTAAGCTGGCCTAGTAGAAATTATTTTAGAACAGTCCAGTCCAGACAGCTCATAATCATCCGGTTGGGCTTGTGGCCCATTAGCCGAATTATTTGAATTCCTGATACCTAAACCTGCAAAATCTCCTCCTCTGTTGTTCCCAACGTTCTATGAACCTGACAATCCTTCTCTAATACCCTTCCCATGTTTGGTAAATCTTGGGGAATGTGTTTCCCCATCAGCTTCTGCTGAGCCAAAAAAAACTCCCTCATCTATCCAAAAGTCAACCTTTTGTCTACATTTCTCTGCTGATTTGACTGAACCTTCCTCAAATTATGACATATCCCTATCTTCCTCGTCCTCAAACCTCAACTCACCGCATTTTTCTCCAACTACTCCGACCACCGGAGAAATTTTGAAAAAAAAAGCTTTGAATCATCATGAATCGATCCAATCTTGATATTAACTCTAAACGATCTACCATAGGATCCAAGAGTAATAAATTTTGGCACATCAAACGGGCTAGCTACTCTCATAAGAATTATCGCATAAGTGAGATCTTCCCTGTTCACGGAGTCATGAATTTCCATCATATTTCCCCATCTCCCACCTATCCGTTCTAAGAAGGATTCATTCCAGCATAACAAAGGAATCCAAAATAACTCAACCTAGCAAAAAGCCATAGGAACTCGGTCCTCATTCAATAAAGGAGCCAATCTTTCAAACCAGAAGCTTATCACATCTTTCTTCTTTGTCCATGCCTCCATCATATCTTCGTGGGATTTGAAAGAGAACGCAGGAATTCCTGGCATAACCCCAACCAGCAATCTGAACTTCATAACCTTCATTAAAAAAGGCTCCTTAACTGACTGAAAATCAAAGGAAAGCTTAATAATCTCCGTTAAAGATCTTTTGACCCAACTCGAGCTCTCAGACGGAATATGCATTTCCAGAACATTCTTCCTTGCTTTCTCCCTGTGACTCCCTTCAGAATGAAGCTCCGTAGGCCCCCTTGCATAATTGCTCATACTTATAGACAGTAAAGCATCTTTATACGTTCTTTCATCCCTAATACTCCTGTTGGAAAAATCTTTCACTTTCAACTTTGAAGGTCCTGCTGTAGTCGGATCTGAAGCTGGATTTACTGGACTTATCTTCCCTGCTTTCATTGAACGAGCATCATTGTATTTTGAAACTTTAACTTTAATCCTTCTCTCATCTATCAATGATCCATTTAACATATCTATCGCTCGCTTTAAACCAGATTCCCGCTCAAACTGAACAAATGCAAAAGTCGAAAATCTATATTTAGGATTTCTAGTTTCTTTTGGGATAAAAACTCTCTCCACAGCTCACTGAGACGAAAAAATTTCCCTTAGCACACGTCGATATACTCTTCTACTGAGATTATCGACAAAAACCTTCCAAACCTCACCGGAATCAATATTCTCTTTCAACTTTTCTCTCTCTCATCTCTATTTATATTAAATGTTTTTTACCCTTAAAATGGGAATGTTAGTGAATTTAGCTAAGAACCAAGATGCTAATCTGAACCCTTACTGTGAAGAACAATTGAATCGGATCGAACACTCCCTTCTCGAAAACAATGGCATTCCTACATTTCCAAATTGTCCACAAAACTACACCAGGAATAAAGGTCCAAATAGTTGAATGAGGCATTAACATAACAATTAGTATACATAGAACTAGAAAAATGTCTACTTTCTTCATTGTATCCATTTATAGCAAGAATAAATTCTTAAGGATAAGAACACATGCTTTCTTACTACTTTGTATTATTACATATAGATAAAAGAGAGGTAGGCTCCCCTTATTGTTTATCATCTTCTTGTCAACCCTTAAAATGCGACTAAGAACTTATTATTTTTTAGCAATCCCCCCATAGACTTGTATCAAGCTTATCATTTTTGTTTCTAAATTTCGGAGGCCATACGTGATGGAGCAGAAGGATTCTTCAGGACATAGTATGGTACTATCTCCAAGATGGCAATGTTGCTAGCGCTAGTGATCCTTAGCATATATTTGTTTCGAAATACAACTCCCCAACAAGAATCCTTAGGCCTAGGAAGGTTGTGATATATATGAACATTATGTAAAATAGAATTCAACTTCTTTTTCTTTACCCTTATGATAAATATGACAATGTGCATGGCAACATCTGCATGTATCACTGTTGCTGCATTTCTTTTGGGGGCTCTTTGTTCAGGTGTTGCTGGGTATGTTGGAATGTGGGTATCAGTTCGTGCAAATGTCTGAGTCTCCAGTGCTGCAAGATGGTCAGCAAGAGAAGCGTTGCAGGTTGTATCCCTTTTAAATTTGAAAGTTTTTCTGAATGCTTGCAGATTTAAATACTAAGTGCAATCATATCATGCATATAGTTGTCCGTGGTGGTGGTTTTTCTGCCTTGGTGGTGGTTGGTGTGGCTGTGATTCGTATAGCCATCCTTTATGCAACATTTTATGTTTGGCTGGAAGTGGATTCACCTGGTTCAATGAAGCTCACATATTGTATGTAATTAATTTCCTTATTCCCTTTATTTGTATTAATGAACTTCGTGCCGATGGATATTCTTATTACATGGTTCTTTCCTTTTCTTTCATATGGTA